TTTCCATAAGACTTGTAGTTTTTCTGGAAATCAAGGGAAACCGTTTTTTACCCTTAAAAACTCAACCCCTACCCCTTCCCGACCTCAGATCGCCCGTAAATTATTTTTCCTTTCATTTCTGTTATATTCTCTTTCTTTTCCAATGGGTTTCATCCCGCTATAATTTTTTTTGGTTTCAAAAATTATCGACCCTGGTCTAAAATCAGTTTTCGTGGCAAGATGTTAGGTTACCTAAATAAATACATAAAAAAATTCTTAAGATGGGGAAATATTTTTATCCAGTAGTTTCAACAATTTATCCCAAAATCCATTTTATTAAACTCCTCATATTTTTATTTTAATTTGTTAATTATTAATAATAGACAAATATTCTGTCAAATTAAGTAAAAACGAAATACTATAAAACAGCCATGTCATATTTTTCAATATATTTTAAAATAAAAATATTCCTCTATTTAATCAGTTACAAGTGAGTTAACAGCAAACTAAAAAAAAAACTAAGAAGTTATTAAACTTAGCTAATTTAAGACGAAGATAAATTACGACAACGATTTTTCACAATTTTTTGATTTACTTTGGTTAAAATATAGAGAAATTGTCCCTTATTTGCTGTGAACAATGAAATCCTTTCAGGCTTATTTAATTATTTAAACCCTTCGAAGACGTCGTTAGCTAAAGCAAATCGACTTTAAAACTTTACGTAGGTATTAAATAATTTATTAGGCTTCAGCATTCAGCAAGTCCTTTACAGAATATGCATATAAATAATTCTATAAATGAAACGATTAAAGATTCTTGTTAATAAAGACTTGTTCTGTTGCAGAAACCGCCTCCCCCTGGAATTTCTTTAGAAAAAAAGGCTGGGAATCTACACGTTATGGAGGTAAGTCCATGTTTCAAATTGTTTCTACGAACGCTAATAGGAAAAGGTAATAATAATGGTAATTAGTAAATGAAATTTAGATCCGGTAGCGATGCATATGTGTATAAATTTATTGTAAATGTTATCGTCAATATATGAGAAGTGCAGAAATACTGACCGACTTTCTGACTTATAGAGTGTTTCGGAAAAACATAAATGTCTTCAGGAAGTTATTAAAACTAAATCCTTCACTATGCTAATATGCTAATACGCTTCAAATGCTAATATAAAATTTATTCTTGCTGTCTTATCTGTGCAAGCGTAAAGAATTTGATAACAAATGAATTGAAATCACTTTTTAGGTACCTGATCCGAAACTATGTGTCTTATGTCATTTAATGAGTCCGCTGGAACCGATCGACCCAATTTTAGAATCACCCTTAGTACAGCCCTTATTTAAACAAAGGGTGACAGCTGGGGAGTTGGTAAATGAAGTGGCGCAAGCCAAGACGGCTGTAACGGGAATGCTTCTATCCAATATGGAACGGCACGGTAAGTAAGCAGTGTTTCAGGAAAAAAAATCGGTATAGGAACAATTTGGTAAAATGAGGCTTCACCAATGAGAGGCCTCCAACTAAATTTCAGTCAGTAGTAGAGGCTTAAATTGTTCTAAAATGAAGAATAGGGACTATTCCAAATAGTAGGTTTATCTAATTATTTCCATAATATGGCAACTGCAACCGATGACAATATAAAATTTCGTAAATCATAATCGATGTTTGAACCTGCTTCGGAAAGACACTCCACCAAGTCCTCAAGTGAATCTTTAGTAGGTACGGTGTCTGACACATGGCCTCTTTGGATTCGGGTGATTTTGTAGTCTGTTCTGCCTGGGTGTGTTTGGAGCGGTTTGCGGTTGCATAAACAGTTTCGGTGGTTAGAATCGAAACGTAGGTGAAAGTTTCGATTTTCAACAAAGGCTATCTGGGTGCTTGTAGCGATAGGTTTGACATCAACATTATACTGAAGACAGTTATACATTATGCCTATTAGGCAAAATGGGGCTTATCAATTAGGGTCTTCCAATTAGTTCTCAATCAATAGAGTATAGAGGTTTAAATTTTTCTAAAATGAAGGTTAAGAACCGTTTCCGATAGGTTTCACCGATAAAGGGACCTAACACACAATTTTCTCAGTAGTAGAGGCTTACATTTTTTCTAGAATGAAGGATTAATGACTAATAAATGAATAGTCCTACGGCAAAAAAGTCAATGCGTGACAAACTAGACTTTTTGGCGTCACAGAATCCGGATCCGGTGTCGGTTTGATGAAGTTAGCTGAAGGTAATTTAATTTTTTTTATGGTAACACAATTTTTGTCCACGGATTCTGAAGGATTGAGCAATTTTACGTTCGGTTACGTGGTTGATTTATTTTGGTCTTGTTCAAGTTTATTTGAAGGTCAACTATTGTTTTTTATGGTAGTACAATTTCCGACCCCAGAATCTGAGGAAAGTACAGATTTTACATTCGGAGACGTAGTTGGGTTATTTTTTCATTTTCAAGGTCATTTGAGGGTCAACACTTCCATCCGAACTTCTCAGGTTGGCATCTCGTTAGAATAGTGAGATATCAGGAAAATGACCTCTATAAAGTTGTTTGGGTCACCAAGGACTATCATTGGTGACCTCGGATTTGACCTTGGAGGTCATTTTGATTAATATTACTAGAATCGGCTCTAAGACGGCGAGATAATAACCTTGAACATTACATTAAAAAAATTAATCAGCTACATCTGCCATCTTACATCTTTCAGAATCCGGGGACAAAAATTGTATTATAAAAAAACAAGACCATCTCCAAATAACTTCGACCGATTAATCGGCATCGGCTTCGGCCATATTTGGCCATTATTTAAACCTTCGGCTAAGAATCGGCTTCGGCCAAAATTAAGCCGAACTTTTCGCCAAAGCCGAAGGTACCATTCGGGACGCCGCAGCACTTAACAAATCTAATCAAATTAGGGTTAAATTAGCTCCTTAACACTACAAATAACACTGCCAAATTACAACAAAATTGGGTAAAAGCTGTTTAAAATATTTAGGAAATAGCATTTTTTTTTTATAAAAGATGTATCTAAACCATGTATCTTGAAAACGAAGCAACTGTGGACCAATGTTTATATGAACTTTTTGTATTAAAATCACTGAAATTATATTATATATATTTCCAAAACATACATTTATTTTTTACCTACTTTTAGGTTAGGTATCTTATATGTTTGTTATTAATTAAAATTTTCAAGTTAATAAAAATATCTTCGGCCGAAGGCGACCCATAAACCGAAATTCGGCTTCGGCCAAAAAAATCACATTCGGTGGGTCTCTAAATAAAATACACGCATGTATCTTCCCATTTTGCAAAAATAAAGTTTGGAAACGAAAATTGAATTTATTATTCATCCCTATTGCATTTACAACTTTTTTATTTTAACTAGTGATCAATTTTTCTTAGAATGTGGTAAAAATGAAAAAAATTAATTTAAGTATTAATAAAGTACATGGTGTAAAATTTTCTGACCCAACAAATAACTTTTTACGCAACTGTTTTTTTTTTCAAGATTTGAAGTTGAAATCTTAAGGTTTGTTTAAATAGAAAATTTTTCTAGAAACAGCCAATTTCCATTATGTTACAAAAGAAATAACGTATAGATACAAATAAATAAGTCTAATGTTTGATCAAATCATATTTTTCGTTCTTCAATTACAAATATAAACTATATAATTGTCGATTTCATTTAAAATTTCAATTTCTACTCAGCGTTCTTTATTTCACAGGGCAGGGATGATCAGTTAGAGTGTTAATAATTGGCTTCATAGGTCAGATACAAAACTTGAGTGATTGAGTGAAATTCGAAGTGTACTCGCTACTTGGAATACGACAATAACTGTCTAATAACGAGGGAAATATAATGAAAACAATATAATGTATTAAGAACCTAATATGAGAGAAAGAAATTAATACTATTTATCAAGCAATGAAGTATATAAATATTTATCTAACAAATCAGGCTTTTAACCATCTATATCCATATACTAGTTTGCTTACTGCTGTGTACCTACTGCTGAAATCAGCATCAGGTTTACTGCAAGATTCATTGTGCAATTGTCTTGATCAAAACTTTCAATGGATTTGATTCAGGGCACTTGAGCACAACGGGGTAAATTAAAGCAAGTGACTACATATTACATTAGAATTAAGTAAGACATATTGTACTTGACTTACTAATACTAATTCACCCCTTTGGCCTCAAGTACTTTTGGTTAAGTCTGGTGCAAGTATTGTAAAAGTATCTTGCATAAGAAACGATATAAATTTCAGCAATAGACACAAAACAATCTGACACAATTTGGCTATTTCAAGTAAACTTGAAACAACTTGTATTAGAATTGCACACGATTGTGCTACCAGGGATATTATTCTCATTTTTTTAAATCTGTGTGTGTTACTTGTTTTCTGACGATTCTTTCTGCATTTTTCAGCGGAATTCCCTTTCATAACTTACTATGTGATAAACACCTCACAAACAAATCCTGTGATGTTTTACAATAATCTTCGCACTGCCAGTCTGACCAAATTCGACCCCAGGGCGACTAGGTACACAGCAGCACACACTCTGGACCTATATACCGAGGTAGCGTCGATTTGCAGGCCGCCTATCCACGAAATAGGAATGTCTTTGACCAAAACCCACACTCCTTCAACTGGTTACCTGGTGTCCGTATACAAAGTGTTCGAAGGAGACGACAAGGAGAAATTCGAAAGGAACTGGTTATACTGGACAGGTAAAATTACCAAGATTTGCATTTTAATACTCATACATCCTCAGTGGTGACACTGTAATACTAGGTATAGTCAGTTGTACTAATGATGACTCAGAAAAAATGATAGACGGGAGAAGTTGAGTCAGGTGATAGTCGAACTCTGAAGATGAATATAAAGTATTGTTGGAAGCTGTGGCGATCGGGCTAAAGGCTGCATTAAGTATACGGTTGAACCAGTCAAAGTCATTAAGTGTTTCAACTGTATCATAACTGTTTAGTTGAATAGATAGATTTTGGATTATTATTTTGGTGGTTAGGACAGACCGCACAATTAAGGCAGTCAAATTGTACTACATATTAATTTTACTATTTTGACAGAAAAGTTTGTCAACTAGAGAAGTAGATAGTAGATAAAAATAATAGTTATTGACCCAAAAACAAAACAATAAATCAATATACGATTTGTTATAATTAGACATTAACAACTAATGGAAGGTAAATTAAAATTAAAGTAGAGGCAGATTAAGGTGAGAAGTTGTAATAATATTCTCTAGATCGCCAGGAGATACAAAAGTTTCTCAGTACTTTACAGGAGCTAAAATTTATAAATTTTTTTTAGTAAATGTATTTTTGTTGCAATAAACTCGTTATTTTACTTACTTACTGCTTACTTATAGTGTTTATATTTAGGGCTATTCGCTCAATTAAAATCTAATGTTTTTAATTATAATAAAACTGTTCTTATATTAGTTAAATTTTATAAAAGATAAGACCCACTTTTCATGCATTTTAAATTATTTACAAAGTTATAAAAGTGTATAACTATATATTTTCAACATAATTTTACTTGTGTAAACTAATTTTACATTGTTATTATTTTTATAAGTGTCCTCAACAAATAAAAAAGTTTCATTTCCAAAGCACCTTCTCTTCTTACTGTTCTGTTCTATTTCAGGGGCCAGAATGATATATCGATATTTGCCAACAGCTGCGGGACTACGAAGGATATCTCTCCACAAATCTCTGAGCCCGAAAGGAGATAAAATGTATATCTTGTTGTGTGAATGTGCAAACCTATTAAACGATATTACAGTCTGTGCATTGATTTTACCTGCATTACGTGCGAGACTGACAGGGTACACTGGGATTTTTAGACCTTTACAAACATTTTAATTACATTTTTAATAGATATTTTAATATGAGCTTGCCTTTATTAGTGACAGGTACCGGTATTATACACCTTTTTATACCTTCTCCAGCATCATATGTGATAAAATTTATTTTAGATTGCCCATTGTACTAATAGGCAACATTTATAAATATCTAGATACTTGTACTATATGCTTGATTTAGCCCTTATTAAAAAGTGTTGTTAGCAAAAATAGTAGTACCATAATCTATCGTCTACATATACTCTTCAAATGAGTATATGGAAAAGTACTTTTCATACTGTCACACCTACAACAATGACATATCCTACATATATATCACATAGCAATATTTTTCGTTAAAAGTTTTAAGAGTTTAAGATATATTAAAGACAATTTTGCAGAGGAGTTGTGATTTTTTAAATATGTACAATACAAATACAGAAATTATATCTATTTATTATAAAAAATATTATGTATATCTGAAAGTTTTGTATGATAGTTTAGTTAAGGGTGCCGCAATACTAATTTTAGCAATAATTATATTTCTAATAATTCTACAGCATTTCTCTTAAGTGCTGTAATATATGTTTTTCATCACAATAAAATGGTTTTTAATTGCTGTCAGTTCATCAGTCAAGTGGAATAGTTTGGAAAATGTAAATATAAAAAAATAAATGCATTTGAATTATTTTAGTAAAGGAATAGACAATAAAATGATACAGGTATTAATGTATTTAATTCCTTTCCAATATTTAAAAATAGTTTTTCATTTTCTAATTTACTTTATGTTATCTAACTACCTAACATTTTCATTTTGGTGAAGTGTCGCTCCTTATTTTTTCCATTATTCTTTGATGTTGAAGTTGTAAAGAACTTTTGAAATGTTTTATTATCTATGTTGCAGTAACTGACGACTCGCTTTTATTAGAACATTCTGTACATTTTTACAAATTTCAGTTGAAGATTTTCTTACAACTGCAGTGATTTGTAGTTTGATAGGTCCAAGGATAGATCTATTTCTGATAACCAGAGTGTGCTATAGAGCTAATGTTGGATAAAGACTTGGTTATATAGAAACAAATAATAATCTCACTATAATAATTCAAAAATGTACAAAAAAATGCATTTCATTATAGAAAAAAACAACTTAGGTATTTGAAAATTTGAAAAAAAATCCCTAAATTACACTTTTTATACTTTTTTGCTGTCAAAAAATAGCGGGGAATAGAAGTAATATTTATAGTGTATAAAGTAGGTACCCCCATACGGAAAGACATGGATCAGCCGATTGTGTCAACCGACCATATCTGACATATCAGATCTGCTGACTACTTGGTCAACACACACACACATACTGAGCCTTTCTCAACTTCTTAGAGATCAGTTCCTTAACTCATGCTGACATTTTATTAATGATCGATAATTCGAAGGTTGGATATGGAACCTATGCTCATGCAACCTATTATTCTAAAATAGCCCTCAAATATTTTACGTTTGCATCATGGCAAGAAAAATATTTTGTTCTTCAAGAATCGGCTATTTCATCAACTTGAGTATGTACTGTGTAACTAATAGAAGTGAGATGTTAAAATCATTGACGTACTTGGCAGCGTTCAGATTGCCTAAACAGTCATTTTGTCTGTAGGTACCTAATAGGACTAACACTTCACATAGGTAATGTGCTAGTTTAAAATTATGAGTATGTAATACTTATCGTCATTAACATTTTTTTGCGTGAAATGTATCTATGCAGGCGTAAGTTAAAATAATTTGAAAAATTATTTCAAATATGCCAAGAATTTATACAGAATGTTGATAAAAAAAAATAATGTGACTAACAGCCTAGAATTTAATTGTGAGCAGTCAATAATGGGGATTCAGGCTAAATTTTAAAGAAACTACGTATTTTTGCTTGTCAATGTTACATCAATCTCTATACAGTCACATCTTCATGACAATACGATAAAATTCATATAATTGATAATGATACACATTACGATTTAAAATATGTTAAAACGTATGTATAAAGTTATATGCATTTAAAACCATTATTCACCATTATGATTAGCAACTAATAATGAATTAAAAATACATAGTAAATAAATAATTACCTACATATACTTAATATTGTGAACAACATGTTATATTACTTACACTAAAAAACATACTTTAAATCCTAATGTGGGGATATATTGTAATGTCTGTCAATATGTCAATTTTATTATAATGTCCTGAGGATGTCACAGTATATACTGACAAAACATCGACAAGAAAACAAAATATTTTTTTTTATTTAATTCCCACCATTGTGACTACTAACAATTGACATTAACGCAAAAGTAGTACAAACAATTGACACTAATTTTAATTTTCTTCCTAACACTACCATAGTGGCAGGAATTTGTCAAATTTTTTATTTGTATTATTTCAAAAAATTTACGCTGCAGATGCAATCTTTAGAATGAATTAATCATATGACATTCCTATATGAAAAAAATTAAATATTCTCATTTTTCCTTTATGTAACACAATTGATTACTCCACTTTCTGTCGAACGTTAATAAATTATAATAAATTACTTTGATAATCAAGTTTTAAGCCTACAGTAAACTAAATAAGGAATTGACATGGTAGTGAATAGTAGTACAAAAGTTATGTATTTTTGTTATTAAATAAGATTTGTCAAGTGTGATAATATATATAGCTAAGAAATTGTATATTTTAAATAAATATATAAAATTTAACGAAATAAATTTTGAAAGTGAGGTACTTATTTATTTGCTTATCCTATTTTTTTCAGTGTACTTCACAATTATATATTATATTCATGTAAGCAATGAATTTATTATAAACGTTATTTAATAAAAATTAATTTTTTATTTTCTCAAAAGCTTAAAATAAAGCATACTGGTTTGACCTACCAATTAAGTATTTTTTAAAATTTTAAGAAATCTTAAAATACGTTTACACAAATTCGTAAATTTTACACCTATACAACTCAATTTAAGTTCAATTGAGTCATGTTGAAAATACAACTTATAAAAAATGCAGTTCAGATATAAGAAAATTTTGATATCAAAATTACTTAATATTATTTCACCACTATTATGTTATTGTAGTAGTATTATTTTGTATAACAAAATTAGCCAGAAGCAAATTGTATATTTAGCTTTTTAAAAATAAATGAATTATCCTTGTAGAAAATGTGTTTCTCTTTTACATTTCTGTCTATTATTAAACCCAACTAATTTATATACTTTCTAAATTACAATATTTGATAGAAGTATAATCATATTAGGCATGTTTTTTTTAATAAAGCCAATATCAGTTACAACTTTATTAAAAAATAAATAATCACTCAATATATACAACTAAATCACTAAACCTTTTGTTGATTTGGTAAGTCAAATATTCTAATATCCCTTTCTTCCTCTAAATCTCTGTCTGTTGTCCAACTGAAAATAAAAAAATAGGTAAGTACATATAGATTAATAAAAAATTTCTATTAAAATTATTAATTACCAAAGATCGTTTGCATTCAAAGAAGGTGTTACGAAGGACTTGGCACTGAGTTGGAACTGTACCATCATTGAGCTTTAAACATTCACGTGGCGTCTTCTTATGCTAGAAATATTTATATGAGGGCGTTACATTTTACATGGTACTTTGTTAATAAAAAGCATTATGGCTTGGCTTTAAGGGTCATTTAAAAATATATTAAATATGGAAACTATTTTAATGAAGGAAGTTAGCATAAGAAATTTTATAGAGGCATAATCAGTCGAAAACTTACCACTTTACAGCAATCGCTTTCTAGGAGACACATTTTTAAATCAGCCCTAACTCCAGCACAAGCTGATTTGTCTTGTAACTTTTCGTTTTCTTCCTCATAACGCATCATTTTCTAGAAATAAAAAAGTAGTACATTTATGTAATTTTTTATATACTAGCTTACCGTGAAGTTATATTTTATTACCAAAACACAGAAAGTATGTGTAAGTATGAAACTAACACTATTATAAAATAAGTAAATATATCTATTTCAAGTTAACCTAACTTGAACGATTATTCCTTAACCTAACATTTGCAAATTTTTAATTTGTTTTATCTATTGGTATTGGTACTACTTGTCTAAACTAGTAGAAAGAATTACTGGTAGGGTAGGCAAAATTCACATGATTATTTATTAAAGTTTTATTATTTATTATAGTTCTTGTATATTAATTTTTCTATGATTATAGTTTATTAGATTTGTATCGAAATACATATTTGACCGATTCATATGGATATTAATTTAAAAAATCACAGTTTATTTAACCAATTAAGAAGACGAAATACGAAAGTTACTACAAATAAGAAGACGAAAGTGTAAGTAGTTAAGTAGTGCCAAGTACCAGCCAATAAAACAGTTGTGGCTATAAATTTTATAATCAGAACAAAACGAAATTTGAAAAATACCTGAATATTTTCCGTACAGATTTAAACGTGAAAGTTATGAATGGTCCGCGAATGAGTCTTAAATTAAATTTATATGGAATATACTAGGTATTTAGATTAAAATATTTCAAAGTATTTCTGTGAAGATAACATATTCATATGAATATTGTTTATATTTATCCAGTTTGATACAACAATGTACCTTTTCTGATGAAAAGAAAAAAATTAATATTGTTACTGTTTCTCAAAATACTCATAAGCAAAGAGATTTTATACTTACGTCTAAGTCTAAGTTGTACGTCAGTATAGGTACAGGTTTTATAATATATACATTTTTTAACGGCTTAACGTTCTGATTTTAGATATCAAAAAATAATTTGCAGATTGGAAATTAAATATCAAAAATTTTAAAACTGTTGTTGAAACGAAATGAAAATTCAATAAAAGGTGGTAGTTACCTCAAAGTCATATTAAACAATCTTATTGTGGTGGTACCCATTCTGGAAGTCTTGTTTTGTTATTGTATCAAACCGTTGTCAGTTTCACTTAGTTTTCATGTTTGGGGAGACGAAAAAGGTGCAAAGAGCTAAGTAAGGGCTGCAAAACAATAGTCAAAATTTACCAAAAACTGCTGTATGATGAAAGCAGTAAGTATATGATCTCACATTTCATTGGTGGAGAACCTAGTCATTCTTACTGACTTCTGAACAGATGTTTTCTTTTCATATCTTCCCCTTAACTTTAGTCATGGCATGACCTTTTGCTGCTATAACAGTTATATAGGATTATTTTTGAGCTATAAAATACCTTTAATATTTTGTGTTTTGGTTCTATCAAGTTTAAAACAAAACAATTATCTAGATCCACTTTTCTCTCAAATCGGCCATTGTAAAACCGCAAACACAAAGAGAAAATGAAAAATTGTTCACCGACAACACTCGCGTCCACCTACAATGAAATTGCTTACAATACAAATTCACAAAGGATGTACATAACCCTTTGTAGAGGTGTGTCACAGTAACTGCATCTGTTTGCATGATTTAAGTTTCGGGAACTGTGTATGTACCAAAAATTGCCAAACTTTAAAGCTGTGCCATTTTTTTATGCAATAACTAAAAAAAGTCAATTTATATGGCAGCAATTTCTTCCATTTTAAGCATACTCTCTAGCAAATCTTCCTTAATGTGCCACTTACAACATAAGAGAACAATCATGTAACGTCTAAGCAGATTAATTGTAAATCTTGAGACCCATCCATTTATTCATATAATTAAAAAATGGCAATTCAGGACTTTTAAAAAAGAATTTTTACTTTATTAAATAATAACATATTATAAATGAGAACATTCTAATAAAAAAAAAGACAAGAATTGTGATAAAGAATGACAAAGGTATTAGCAGGAAAAAAGAATTGTTCATTAATTTACTGCTATTAAATTTATTGATTGTTGCTTTCTACAAAATAGGTATTTTATTATTATTTAGAGCATATAGGTACATAATAGATAGATCTGATCATTTGAATTATCATTATTTTAACAGGAAATTTTGAACTCGTACAAAATCATTTTTTTAGTATAGGTAAAAAATCTAGATTGTTACTGACAAATAGCAGATTCTGTTTAGTTGTTTAGCAAATGGTGGTGTCTATCCATGACATAAGCTCAGTTTTAATTAATTTTTTTAAATCCCTAAAAAATTAAGTTTCAGAATCCAAATTTTCAAATCGTAATTATTTATAATTTATAATTAAACTGGTGTTAAGTATATCTTAGATTTTATTTTACAATATATATCTAATATACAGGCTGTTACAAATTCTCTTCTCACGACAGGGATCTCGGAAACGGTAAGAGATATGAACTANCTAATAATGAATTAAAAATACATAGTAAATAAATAATTACCTACATATACTTAATATTGTGAACAACATGTTATATTACTTACACTAAAAAACATACTTTAAATCCTAATGTGGGGATATATTGTAATGTCTGTCAATATGTCAATTTTATTATAATGTCCTGAGGATGTCACAGTATATACTGACAAAACATCGACAAGAAAACAAAATATTTTTTTTTATTTAATTCCCACCATTGTGACTACTAACAATTGACATTAACGCAAAAGTAGTACAAACAATTGACACTAATTTTAATTTTCTTCCTAACACTACCATAGTGGCAGGAATTTGTCAAATTTTTTATTTGTATTATTTCAAAAAATTTACGCTGCAGATGCAATCTTTAGAATGAATTAATCATATGACATTCCTATATGAAAAAAATTAAATATTCTCATTTTTCCTTTATGTAACACAATTGATTACTCCACTTTCTGTCGAACGTTAATAAATTATAATAAATTACTTTGATAATCAAGTTTTAAGCCTACAGTAAACTAAATAAGGAATTGACATGGTAGTGAATAGTAGTACAAAAGTTATGTATTTTTGTTATTAAATAAGATTTGTCAAGTGTGATAATATATATAGCTAAGAAATTGTATATTTTAAATAAATATATAAAATTTAACGAAATAAATTTTGAAAGTGAGGTACTTATTTATTTGCTTATCCTATTTTTTTCAGTGTACTTCACAATTATATGTTATATTCATGTAAGCAATGAATTTATTATAAACGTTATTTAATAAAAATTAATTTTTTATTTTCTCAAAAGCTTAAAATAAAGCATACTGGTTTGACCTACCAATTAAGTATTTTTTAAAATTTTAAGAAATCTTAAAATACGTTTACACAAATTCATAAATTTTACACCTATACAATTCAAGTTCAATTGAGTCATGTTGAAAATACAACTTATAAAAAATGCAGTTCAGATATAAGAAAATTTTGATATCAAAATTACTTAATATTATTTCACCACTATTATGTTATTGTAGTAGTATTATTTTGTATAACAAAATTAGCCAGAAGCAAATTGTATATTTAGCTTTTTAAAAATAAATGAATTATCCTTGTAGAAAATGTGTTTCTCTTTTACATTTCTGTCTATTATTAAACCCAACTAATTTATATACTTTCTAAATTACAATATTTGATAGAAGTATAATCATATTAGGCATGTTTTTTTTAATAAAGCCAATATCAGTTACAACTTTATTAAAAAATAAATAATCACTCAATATATACAACTAAATCATTAAACCTTCTGTTGATTTGGTAAGTCAAATATTCTAATATCCCTTTCTTCCTCTAAATCTCTGTCTGTTGTCCAACTGAAAATAAAAAAATAGGTAAGTACATATAGATTAATAAAAAATTTCTATTAAAATTATTAATTACCAAAGATCGTTTGCATTCAAAGAAGGTGTTACGAAGGACTTGGCACTGAGTTGGAACTGTACCATCATTGAGCTTTAAACATTCACGTGGCGTCTTCTTATGCTAGAAATATTTATATGAGGGCGTTACATTTTACATGGTACTTTGTTAATAAAAAGCATTATGGCTTGGCTTTAAGGGTCATTTAAAAATATATTAAATATGGAAACTATTTTAATGAAGGAAGTTAGCATAAGAAATTTTATAGAGGCATAATCAGTCGAAAACTTACCACTTTACAGCAATCGCTTTCTAGGAGACACATTTTTAAATCAGCCCTAACTCCAGCACAAGCTGATTTGTCTTGTAACTTTTCGTTTTCTTCCTCATAACGCATCATTTTCTAGAAATAAAAAAGTAGTACATTTATGTAATTTTTTATATACTAGCTTACGGTGAAGTTATATTTTATTACCAAAACACAGAAAGTATGTGTAAGTATGAAACTAACACTATTATAAAATAAGTAAATATATCTATTTTAAGTTAACCTAACTTGAACGATTATTCCTTAACCTTACATTTGCAAATTTGTAATTTGTTTTATCTATTGGTATTGGTACTACTTACTATTTGTCTAAACTAGTAGAAAGAATTACTGGTAGGGTAGGCAAAATTCACATGATTATTTATTAAAGTTTTATTATTTATTATAGTTCTTGTATATTAATTTTTCTATGATTATAGTTTATAGATTTGTATCGATATATTTGACTGATTCATATGGATATTAATTTAAAAAATCACAGTTTATTTAACCAATTAAGAAGACGAAATACGAAAGTTACTACAAATAAGAAGACGAAAGTGTAAGTAGTTAAGTAGTGCCAAGTACCAGCCAATAAAACAGTTGTGGCTATAAATTTTATAATCAGAACAAAACGAAATTTGAAAAATACCTGAATATTTTCCGTACAGATTTAAACGTGAAAGTTATGAATGGTCCGCGAATGAGTCTTAAATTAAATTTATATGGAATATACTAGGTATTTAGATTAAAATATTTCAAAGTATTTCTGTGAAGATAACATATTCATATGAATATTGTTTATATTTATCCAGTTTGATACAACAATGTACCTTTTCTGATGAAAAGAAAAAAAATTATTATTGTTACTGTTTCTCAAAATACTCATAAGCAAAGAGATTTTATACTTACGTCTAAGTCTAAGTTGTACGTCAGTATAGGTACAGGTTTTATAATATATACATTTTTTAACGGCTTAACGTTCTGATTTTAGATATCAAAAAATAATTTGCAGATTGGAAATTAAATATCAAAAATTTTAAAACTGTTGTTG